ATCAGGAATGACAGGTGTGTGACAGGAGCGTGTGATCAGGAATGACAGGTGTGTGACAGGAGCGTGTGATCAGGAATGACAGGTGTGTGACAGGAACGCGTGACCGGCCTCCATACTAGCAGATCCTGCCAAACGGTTTCCACACAGGGTATCTTCACGATGCTGTCTGAGTCTTATCAATTTCACATTTCTTGATATTAGTTTGTTCCTGGGAGATAAAAAGCAAGATGTTATTTCTTTTTCTTCCCCCAAATAACAATGCGTAAACTAGGGGAACTGTGTGCTGCCCCTCCTGAGCCGGGTCACCTGGGGGCCGTGTACACTGAGCCTAGTGGACAGCAGCCTCAGCTGTCAGCTCTGAAATGCCTCTTCTCATGCTGGTCCCTACTGCACCTCCCTGCCAGCCTTGGGGACAGCCCTTCCCTTGCCTGCAGCCCACAGCTAAGCCAAGCTGATCACAAAAGTAAAGTTTTTGTTTGTTTTTAGAGACAGAGTCCACTCTGTCATGCTGGGTAGAGTGCTGTGGTATCAGCACAGCTCACAGCAACCTCAAACTCTTGAGCTCACGTAATCCTCTTGCCTCAGCCTCCCAAGTAGCGAGGACTACAGAGTCCCACCTCGATGTCCAGCTAGTTTTTCTGTTTTTAGTAGAGATGGGGGTCTCGCTCTTGCTTGGTCTGGTCTCAAACTCCTGAGCTCAAGCCATCCACCAGCCTCAGCCTCCCACCAGCTTGCATTTTTTTAAAACCATAGGTCATCAAGCAAAGAAAGCAAGATTCTGCTGAAGGGGGAGGGCAGCAGAGGGGAGCCAGCTCGGACCCCCAGGACATGCTCTGCTGCTCTTCCTGTGGGCAGCCTCTGCCCAACTCCCAGCCCTGCTGGGGCAGTGCCACCACCTCGTCAGGCGCGGCCCTGTCTTGTCCCACAGTGCTCTCTAAGGGGCAGCTCTGTGGCCCTGCTGCCATTCTGACACTTAGATAGGAGTTGCTCACAGACGATGAGGGGAGGACTCCATTCTGTCAGGAAATGACCTTTGCAGTGGACACACATCGTCAGTGAACATTCCAGGAGCTACTGGCATGAGCGTCTTCCCAGGGCGGGTCAGCACCAGGTGGGATGGTACTGAGTTGTGTGGTGCAGGCTAGAGGCCTCGGTCCCTGGCAGGAACAGGACGCCTGGCTGGGAGATGAAGCCCTCTGGGGACTGTGCGTGACTTGGATCCCGTCACTCATGACATCTGGCTTCTCCTGCGGCATAGGGGTTTCATCCAGCACTCTGTGTCCCACTGAGGAGAGCAGAAGAGGTGCTTGTGGGGGTAGGTAGGAAAATCAGAGGTTTGGATTTGTGAGGAGGATATTTATGCAGGTTACTTTCATCATGTGTTTGCTCTTTTGTCAAAAAGGTACCATTGTCACGTGGGGTGGACAGTGAAGATGACGAAATTATTTCTAACCCAGATGGGTTTCCAGGCTCACCTCTCACACCACGGCATGCCCAACAGAAAGGTAAAGCGCCTGCAGTGTTTCTAAGTGTAAGAGAATTGTGTGGCAATGAATACTTTTACTTTTTAGGAAAACATAGCCGTTGGACCTCCATAGTGTGGCTCTGTGATTTTAACTAGGAATATACTTGAAACTTACTTCTACTGAGAGCCAGTTATTGCCTGGGTGTGAGCTTGTGTTTGAAGTACAAGGTGCTCGCCTCTGAGTCCCTGCTGCTCTCTCAGCCGTGAGAGTTCAGGAGGAGAGGGGCCTGGCTGGCTGGGAGCCCACGTGCACTTTCCTGCTGCTCCTGGTGCCAGTGCACCCTGGAATGACAAGTGCGCTTACCTGAGTTGGCCACCTCGCTCGTCCTTGGACCTGGGGCAGGGCCTGGCCCCTGGTGGATGTCCAGAAAGGTCAGTCTGATGAGCGAGTGTGTGGACTTTTGTAGTTTTCCTTTGGCATAAGGAGAGAACTCAGTGCATCACAGCATAAGTTAGGGGCAGTTTTCAGTTCCTGGGAGGGGCTTTAGTTTGAGCAGTGAGGAGGAGCCCCGGGCCTGGAGTGGGCAACTGGTAATTGCTCGATCAGGACCCTCGGAGTCACTCATCTCAGGGAGACACTTACTTAAGCCATTTCACAAGGAAAACAAAATGTCAGCCTACTAAGTGCTGGGCCAGAGAATAGCTATGGGTCAGCATGTAGACTGACTATTAAATTCAGGTAAAAACTATTCCTTCTTTAGAAAAATTATAGAAATAGGGCGGCACCTGTGGCTCAAAGGAGTAGAGCACCGGCCCCATATACCAGAGGTAGAGGGTTCAAACCCGGCCCTGGCCAAAAACTGCAAAAAAAAATTACAGAAATAATACTTTCTTGGTATTAAAAAATGAAACTTAAATACATAATTATATAATGAGTGTCTCATAAGTTATGTCTCACATAGGCTCCATCAGTGCTAGTGATAATTATTGTCTAGAGGTGAAAACAGCCTGGTATAGTAGCTCGTGCCTGTAATCCCACTGCCTTCTGAGGCTGGGAGTTCAAGGCCAACCTGGGCAGCATAGTGAGACTCCATCTCCACAAAAACATAAGAGCTACGTGGGTATGGTGGTGGACGCCTGTAGTTCCGGTTACTGGGCCTGCTGAGCCAAGAAGATCTCTTGATCCCAGGCGCTTGAGGCTGCAGTGAGCTATCATGGCACCACCATGCTCCAGCCTGGGTGACAGAGCAAGACACTGTCTCCAAAAAATCTGTGAATATTTTCTTCTTATATCACTTCAGACATTTACTCCTCAGAAGTGTGTTCAGGACCTGCCATGTGCCAGAGATGACAGAGCCACAGGCCTGTCCCTTCACAGTGCTGTTGCTGGGAGGAGGCACAGCTTGCAAACTGTAGTGTGGGGTGCTGAGTGGGTGCAAAGACCAGGGGAGCAGTTAGTGCCTGCCAGTTGGCAGAGGTGGCAGGGAGGGGGTTTCAGGAGGCTGGACTCAGGAGGGCAGGGCAAACACACCCATGTGGACCAACTGGCCCCAATGCATTTGGCCAAAAGCAGCTTGATTAAAAGCAAGTATGGTTTTGGGGTCAAAAGCAAGCTCTTGAGTGACCGGCTACTCAAGTATTGGTGATATTGGCAATTTTTATTTTTTTAGAGATAGCATAAACATTGGCAACTTCTGATGAGTGAATGAACCAGGCATTATATTTAGAATTTTGTCCACATCTTTAGCATTTCATTCTGTTTTCTGGATTCCATAGGATTTTCCCCTCTGTTTTTTGCATGCATTTCTCATTTTTATTCAGCCAGTTATTTCTGCTCCACAAACTAATAGTAGAATGTTAAAAGCAACTCTGACGTCAAACTTCCCTACAGTGGAGTGTATGGGCAGACCGGGTGCAAGGTCAGCCTCTTCGCTGGGTTGGAAAGGTGTGGAAGACAAGGAGCCAGGCGGGGTTTGCCTGCATCTGTGCCACTGAGGCAGTTTGTGTCAAGGAACAGCCATTTTTCTGAACAAGCTGGATGCTACTTCTCAGAAGGGTAGGCAGAGAGGAGTGGAGTCTTGGCCTCTCCCGCCCCGGGCAGCGGTGGACACAATGTGTCACCAGAGTGCTGGGGTGGGGGTTGGAATGGGAAGGGGCTGAGGGTCGCACCAAGGAGTTTGGCCTTGGCTCTGCAATCTTCTGGCCACGTGTGGTCCTGAGGAATGAGCATGGTAGAGATGGGAGCGAATCAGACCCTGGCTCCTTGGCTGGCCCTGGGACCCGCCTGCCTCGTGACCTTGCTGAGTTGGTCCCTGTTCCAGGCCTTGCTGGCTCCTCAGTAGAAGGTGACTTTCTATAATTGAGTTCATCTGAGCTGCTGTCATCATTGTCATTTTGTTATCTTCCTTAAAAGTTTTTTTCTTTTTTTATCAGATGATAAACACCCTGTTCTGAATTTAAAGGTAAGATTTTTTTTTTTAAATAGGTTTTCTCAATAAATTTTCCAACAGATTTTGTAATTCAGGGGAAAATATCTTCCCTTAGAGTTCTTTCTGGCTTGGCACCTGTGGCTCAAGTGGCTAAGGTGCCAGCCACATACACCTAAGGTGGCAGGTTCAAATCCAGCCCAGGCCCACCAAACAACAATGACAGCTGCAACCAAAAAAAATAGCCGGGCATTGTGGCAGGCACCTGTGGTCCCAGCTACTTGGGAGGCAGAGGCAGGAGACTCGCTTGAGCCCAGGAGTTGGAGGTTGCTATGAGCTGTGATGCCATGGCACTCTACCCAGGGGGACAGCTTGAGGCTCTGTCTCAAAAAAAAGAAAAGAGTTCTTTCCTATGGAATATTTATTTTATTTTAGTTTTTTGAGACAGAATTTCACTATGTCACCCTCAGTAGAGTGCTGTGGCATCACATCTCACAGCAACCTCCAACTCTTGGGCTTAAGCAACTTTCTTGCCTCAGCCTCCCAAGTAGCTGCGAAAACAGGTGCCCACTACAACATTCAGCTATTTTTTTTTGTTGCAGTTGTCATTGTTGTTTAGCAGGCCCCGGGCTGGGTTTGAACCCACCAGCTCCGGTGTATATGCCCAGCGCCCTAGCTGCTGAGCTTTAGGCACTGAGCCTCCTATGGAATATTTCTTTTAAATACTCTTAAAATATGAGGAAATTAATATTTTCTATAGTTTGATCATGAAAGTGGTATACGAAAGGGTTAGAAGCCACTTACATAATTTGTAGAATGAATAAACAATTTTATTAGCTAATTTGTAAACATGGAAATAGTTCTAACTTAAGTTTTGTGTTATTCATATCAATTTTAAAAATTAAACATTTCGGTTAGGCACCTGTGGCTCAAGTGGCTAAGGCACCAGCCACATACACTAAGGTGGTGGGTTCGAATCCAGCCCAGGCCCGCCAAACAACAATGATGGCTCCAACAACAAAAAAAAAATAGTTAGGCATTGTGGCAGGCACCTGTGGTCCCAGCTACTTGGGAGGCGGAGGCAGGAGACTCGCTTGAGCCCAGGACTTGGAGGTTGCTGTGAGCTGTGATGCCATGACACTCTACCCAGGGGGACAGCTTAAGACTCTGTCTTAAAAAAAAAAAAAAAGAAAGAAACATTTCTCAGTAGAATTAATGTATAACCATATCTTCTTTTTCAGCAGGGACTAGCAACTTAATATCACACCAATGTATAAGGAAAAATTAACAAAAGTTCAAAGCCCGCTCTTGGCTCTGAGTTTGGGATTGAGAAGCAAGACCTTGCATTTGAACATGTGCCAGCCTGCAGCTGAGGGGCCTTTCTGCGTGCCTCAGTGAGGGAAGTCCTGCCTGGAGTTTGCTCTGTGCCTCTCTGCTCTCTGTACTGTAGCACGTGCTTTCAAACGTGAACTGACACCTGTTGCCCACAGGACCTGCACACAAAGGCATGGTCACTGAGCTCACGGGCAAAAAGGCAGGAGCAGAGCTCAGACAGGACTTCCTTGCTGCCTCAGAGAATGTACCAGGAGGGATTCGGTTACAAGAGAGTGGATATTGAAGTTTCTAAAAACTAAAACTAAGACCGAGAGCCAAGCTTAGTGCAGTGGCCCAGAGGCTGAGGCGGGCAGATCACTTGGGGCCAGGAGATCAAGACCAACCTGAGCAAGACCCCATCTCTACTAAAAATAGAAAACTAGCCGGGCATTGTTGCAGGTGCCTATAGTCCCAGCTACTTGGGAAACTAAGGCAAGAGGATCACTTAAACCCAAGAGATTGAGGTTGCTCTGAGCTATGATGCTATAGCACTCTGTCGAGGGTGACAGAGTAACACTTTGGTTAAAAAAAAGAGCCAAAATAAAGGGGCAGAAGTTGTGCCTTGTAATGATGTGGCTGCTTGTGCTTATTTGGGGAGATGCTGAGACTCTTTCCTCTTTATGCTTTTTCTTCCCTAGGATGAAAAACCTCCGTTGTGTGAAAAACCTCCACCCTCCCCAGGTATTTGCCTTTTGAAATTCATCACGATTGAAAGTATAATTGTTTTAGAGATTGCCCCCAATAATCTCATCTGAAGATAAAGGTCACTTTCTCTTTCCCCTGTAAAGGCTGTTGGCTTCCATGTGGGTCCTGTGTACCTGCCCTTCACATCACTCCTCTTGTCTGGGTCAGTGTCTCCCTCACACAGACCTGGGGGTGTCCTCCATCTGCTTCTCTCCCCTGCCCACACCGAGTCAGCCGCTAAGCCACCTGAGAGCACAGCCTCTGGGTTCCCACACTTCCTCTGGATGCCGCCCAGCTCCCGGCACCCTGCAGGTGGCCTCTCCACTCACATCACAGTGTGCAGGCCTCCTCCCGCCCTGCCTGTCCTTGGTCACCTCTCTTCTGCCGCCCTTTATCCTCGGTAGACTGCTCCCTCTCTCCTGCACAAGCCACTCTTCCCAGGGCCCAAAGAACACAGCATCAGGCCTGATGTGAAGTCATTGCCCACAAGGTTTTTGGAATAAGGTCTCATGTACTTTGATGTAAAATTGTAAATATCAATTAATATTTTTAAACTTCTCCCCCGCACCTCTTCAGATATAACTGGTAGAGCGCGTCAGAGATGTGTAGAAACAACCAAAGAAAGATTTGAGGAACTGCGGGAGGAAAACGTGTGCTTGCACAATGTGAACCAGACCCTGACCCTGCAGCTGACCGGCATGAGACAAGCAATGGAAGAGCTTCAGCTCAAGCTGGAGAGAGCGGAAAGCGGGGCGGGAGAGCCAAGAGGCCCGCAAGCCGCGTCCCAGGAAGGTGGGCGAGCCCGGGAAGGTGGGC